CTTCGTCTGTGTATGGTTGGGGCTGGCGCAGTCTTCCTGTGTGAAGCGCCAGACCCCTTTCACACCATGGAACGATGATGATGATGTATGTTCAGGGCTGCATTGCAATATTGATTGTTCGGATCATTGGTATCTAAGTCTTCCGCTACGCTATCTTGTACTTTGTATTGAGAGGTCGGTTCTTGTTCTGGTCTGCACCGTTACAGTATGCAACAGTGGGCATGGCTATGGTGGACCTCATGTTGTGCCTGCAGTAGAAGAGGGATTCGGACATTGATTCTGGTTCAGCCATTCAACATTATTATTATTTCTTGTCTGAATAAGAGGGGAGGAGATAAGGAGGAGGAGAGTGGTTGGCGAAGAAGAAGGGCTTTATCATTGGTCTATGCTGGAATTCATCATCTTCTTCTTCCTTTCTTCTTCTTCTTCTTCTTCCCCTCTCTCTCCTCTCAAGGTCATTCATTTCTTTTGCAATTGGACGGCATTGTGCTTTCTGGTGAATGTGTACTTCGAAATTGGCCAGGATCGTAACACAGGTGTTGCTCCCCACCAATAGAAAGGAGCCATTGTTTGGTTTTAAAAAACAAAGGAGTAATGAGGGCATAGGAAGGGTAAGGGAAGATTTAGACGTCAGACTGTCCTTGACGACAGCTAGGATGTGAACAGTAGGGATGAGGTGGGTGATTACATGGAAGATTTACCTGAGCTGCTGAGCATTCTGAGCACAACAGTTCATTGCCACGGCGGCTGGCATTGACCATTCCTGCCAAACGTTCCCCGCAAACGGCATGTTGTTTGCAGGCTAGTAGGAAGGAAGAAGGGGCGTCACAGAAGACCAGGCACTTGTCAAAATGTCCGTGGCCAGAAAATGGATGTATGATGTTCGGATGCGGAGGGTGTGAGCAGTCATGAAAGGAAGGACGGCCCTCCGCATACAGGGATGCAGAAACTCTGGCATTGCAGTGATTGTAGGAGAGACAATGACCCCTATGGCCGAGTGTAACAGGGTTCTATTGGTGTGCAGACGAGGTCTCCAAGCGTCGTCGTGCTGCGGCGTTGGGGCAGAGAAGTGATCCTCTATGTGAAAGAGTGTGGGAACAGTTTGCTGACGCAAGAGAACATCATCGTTGCGAATGAAACCGCCGACATCAATCATGGTTGGCATCGACCATCGTGTCGTTGTCCCTCTGTTCCCAGTGGTCAAAGGTGTGAGCAATGGCCATGTAATGGCCAGGTCCATGTGCGATGCATCATCACTGTCAACCTTGTGATGGAAAGTACCTGGAGAGAACCATCCCCTTGACTGATCGGCGAACGCTAATGTTTTTGCAGGTATGGTGGGAAGAGAGAACTGCAACTGCTGTGGACCTGTACCATCCTGCAAACCTGACATGCAACTGTCACCATGTCAGCAGCATACTCACAAGAACGTAATGATGTCAGCAATGTCATTGCAGCAATGAGCACATCTTCCATCACATCCATCCTGATGGCAAGAAGAACCATGGAAGAATCCCTAGATGGCCTTTGTATAGCAGGTAACAGCACAACCTCATAATACTCATATGCTTCGCATTTCTAAATTCTAACCCTCTTTTTCTAAAGGGGGTAGCCCCTAACATTATTGTATCGATCTGATGCACCACCATCAGCATTTGAAGTCATGATCTGTTTATCAAACCTTTCATGCCCACATGGGCTGCGTTTCCCATTCCTTGTTCATTTCCTGTCCTGCATTCTTTCGCCGTTTGTATTGTTATGTCTGTGGAATAAAAAAGTAAAAGCTATTGCAGAAGGACACCTTTGTCTCTTGTCCATAGTTGCGGCGCACGACGGTGCGCCGGTTTGCGCACGAGCAGCGCACGTAGCGACGCGCACCGCACGGCGCACCGCGGCGCCCGGAACCGTGAAAAATAGGGGTCTGCCAAAAAAAAAAAAAAATTCGGTTTTCGTTACCAAGGCGGCCCCCCACCCCGGCAAAAATGACGGCGGGGCCGCGCGAGTCCAGAAACCGGTCGCGCCCCGCCTCCAAAAAAATTTTTGGGGGAAGGGCCTGCCGATTTCGAATTTTCGAAATCAGCAGACCCTTGCCCCCAAAAAAATTTCGGGGAAGGGGGACAACATTCCGATCTTGGAAGCGGCGGGAAGCGGCGGGAAACGGGCGAGCGCCGAGCAGCCATGAAAGTGTGCGCCC